TGCCTTTGAACAGGGTATTGTAGTAGGTGCCAGGCGCACCGTTCTGTGTCAAGAACTGCAACGCTGCTGGGTTTTTCACACTCAACAGTTTCCCGTGTGTATCAAGAATGGTCCAACTGTGGGAAGCATTGGAGTCAACATGGGCCAGCATCCCTGTGGAAAGCTTTCGACACCTTGTAGGGTCCATGCCCCGACGAATTGAGGCTGTTCTGAGGGCCAGAAGGGGTGCAACTCAATATTTAGGAAGGTGTTCCTAATGTTTGGTAAACTCTGTAAACTAACAATATACTGTTTAGGTCCTACTACTTTTTGGAAGAGTATGATTTGAACATGGATTAGTACAACCTATATAACACACACACACACACACAGTGCAAATTCCTGTCATATAACCAACACCAATTATTTATTGAATATTGCAGCACCAGTCATAGGCTCAGCTCAAATGTTGAGACATCATCACATCATTGGGATTCTTGGGAAGTCCACCCTGTTGCCCTGCAGCCTGAATTCATCTGCACCTGTTGTCCCAGCGTAGGACAACCTAGTGGCCCATGTCTTTTACTATGGAAAATAAAACAACATTTTGTATACTTATTGAGATCAGACAGATGACTTGTATTCTAATGAAGTAGATCAGACAGATGCTTATAGAGAACCAAAGGAATGAGAACCAACATGCTTGGCACAGAAAGGAGGACCATCTCTGAGTCAGTCTTCAGTGCGGTAACATCCGGGTTAGATATAGATGTAATGGGTTGATGGTGGCTGAAGGATGGGATTAAAAACAAACAAAAGATAACTATTGTAAAATACATTGTGTCCGTAAAATGTATATAGTATGTACTGTATAAGCTGGAAGTAGAAGCCTAAGTGTTGTTGTACAATAGTTTACTCCAATTAGGGGAGGGGTGGTAGGGTTAGGGGAAAATAATAAAGGAAAATATATTTAAAATATATGTATATATTTACAAAAAAAATATATGGGTGATTGGAAATGATGCAGACAATTACATTGATGGAAGCTACAATCTGTGGTAGTAAAGCTGATCACAAATCCGGGTTAGTGCTCTAATTTATGCCATAATAAGCAGGTTGCATTGTGTTCATTATAAGTTGTTTCTCATTAAGCTATACTGAATACAATACATACAACTTCCCTGTGATGTAACACTGCTACTGTGCTGTCCGCATTCATTTTTATGACAGGAAGTTGTGACTGTCGAACAGTGACTCAAAAGAGAAGTGAGAGCATCGCAGAATGAAATGCATCCCAGACCAAGAAGTTGCTGTTAATATCTCATATATTACAGTGCAATATTATCACAAACGTCTTGTCATTTAATTGTTTAAAAAAAGAACAGGAGAGCCGCACACTCTAGGAGCTCAGATGCAATAATTTAAACATCAACGTTTCCACAGCCAAGCTGTCTTCATTAAGGTATGGATAGCAGGCACCTCGCCTAACCAGATTGTCAATGTTTGTTATAATTTCATAATCACGGCTACAACAGCAGCATTATTCCTCCTGAACCCAGAACGTCTAATGAAAAAATAACACCCATTCAGAAGGAGTGTCACTTCCCGTCTGGCTTGTATCTGTTCTTTGTTTAGCTTGTGATGGGACAATATTCTAGGTTATTAATTTAGTTTATAATTACTCTCTTGTAGCGTGGAATGTCTACACTGGTATTCATATTTTTGCTGTTTGGTAAGTCTCCTCTACCTCAATATTTGTATTTCATTCATTGCTTTATAGAAGGAAAGGGTTTTAGCTTGTCTAAAGAGAAAGTTGTCACCTCGTGGTCACCTCGTGGCCATCGAATCATTGATTCAGACTCTCGGCTTGCACACACACCTTCCACACACACTTTCACACAGAAACTCAAGGCTCTGATAAATGAACGAATTAATCATAGATGTCAGATGAAAAATGCATTTGTGATTGGCATGTGGTTGTAGCATTGTTAGCATGTGGTTGTGATTGGCATGTGGTTGTAGCATTGTTAGCATGTGGTTGTGATTGGCATGTGGTTGTAGCATTGTTAGCATGTGGTTGTGATTTACATGTGGTTGTAGCATTGTTAGCATGTGGTTGTGATTTACATGTGGTTGTAGCATTGTTAGCATGCGTTAGCAAACAGTAAGGACGACAACAGTACAGTAGTCCTACATGCATACTGTTGGAATGGAGGTTATGTGTTGATAGCCATACCTGCATCCAGAGATATGTAGAGAAACATGAGATAAAACAAAGTGTTTATCGTAGAGTGAAGCCGATAACCGAACCTTAAGGCCTTGGTAGAACATGGGTGAAGTAGGCATTGTGGTGCTTATGTGAATTTCCTTTCTTTTCAGGCCTGCCTACATCTCACTTAAAATATTGTTTTGCTTTTTTATAGAAAATAATGAATAAGGATGATAAAGACTTTCCATATAAGACTTTTTGTATAAGTTGTAGGTTGGGAGCTTTTGTGAAAGAGCACAGTTAGAAAGATATGGCATACAGAAGCAAACCGGATGGACATCATGAAAATGATCGGAGAGGTTGAGAGTAGAAGAAGTTCAGGAGAAAAAACAAACAAAATATAATTTTTGTAAAATTGACTGTGTCCATAAAATGTATATAGTATGTATAAGCTGGAAGTAGAGGCCTAAGCATTGTTGTTCACTAGTTTACTCCAAGTAGGGAAAGGGTGGTGGGGTTGGAAAGTAATAAAGGGGAATATATATTTTTTAAAGGATATGTATGTGTATGTATATCCTCTTATCCAGAGCAACTTACAGGAGCAATTAGGGTTAAGTGCCTTGGACAGTTTTTTCACCTAGTCGGCGATTAGAACCAGCAACCTTTCGGTTACTGGCACAACGCTCTTACCCACTAAGCTACCTGCTGCCCCTTCTACATTACTACGAGACAAAAGCATCGTCCTTCATTTCCTGGAACTAAAATAGAAGTTCAGATGAGTTATTTCTGCTTTTATGTAGTGGTGAAAAAAATCTGATGCTAGTATTATTTCGTATCGCTGAATGTTTTTAAAGAAATGAGGAATATGACCTCAGCTTTACCCTAAAGCGCTGTCATTATCGCCCATGCTCTAGTCTAGTAACTGTAAGGGCAGGGCAGGCCTAGTTATTACATTATTGCATTTACATTTTTGTCATTTAGCAGACACTCTTAGCCAGAGCGACTTGCAGGAGCAATTAGGGCTAAGTTCCTTGCTCAATGGCATTTCGGAAGATTTTTCACCTAGTCGGCTCGGGGATTAGAACCAGCGACCTCGGGGATTAGAACCAGCGACCTCGGGGATTAGAACCAGCGACCTCGGGGATTAGAACCAGCGACCTCGGGGATTGGAACCAGCGACCTCGGGGATTAGAACCAGCGACCTCGGGGATTAGAACCAGCGACCTCGGGGATTAGAACCAGCGACCTCGGGGATTGGAACCAGCGACCTCGGGGATTAGAACCAGCGACCTCGGGGATTAGAACCAGCGACCTCGGGGATTGGAACCAGCGACCTCGGGGATTGGAACCAGCGACCTCGGGGATTAGAACCAGCGACCTCGGGGATTAGAACCAGCGACCTCGGGGATTAGAACCAGCGACCTCGGGGATTAGAACCAGCGACCTCGGGGATTAGAACCAGCGACCTCGGGGATTAGAACCAGCGACCTCGGGGATTAGAACCAGCGACCTCGGGGATTAGAACCAGCGACCTCGGGGATTAGAACCAGCGACCTCGGGGGATTAGAACCAGCGACCTCGGGGATTAGAACCAGCGACCTCGGGGATTAGAACCAGCGACCTCGGGGATTAGAACCAGCGACCTCGGGGATTGGAACCAGCGACCTCGGGGATTAGAACCAGCGACCTCGGGGATTTGAACCAGCGACCTCGGGGATTTGAACCAGCGACCTCGGGGATTAGAACCAGCGACCTCGGGGATTTGAACCAGCGACCTCGGGGATTTGAACCAGCGACCTCTGGGATTGGAACCAGCGACCTCGGGGATTAGAACCAGCGACCTCGGGGATTAGAACCAGCGACCTCGGGGATTGGAACCAGCGACCTCGGGGATTTGAACCAGCGACCTCGGGGATTAGAACCAGCGACCTCGGGGATTGGCCCAATGCTCATAACCCTTACGCTGTCATGGTGTTGTTCATTCTCTCGAAGATCTTTAAGATCTCTCAATCTGCGTAAACCAGATATTCAGAGCTATCTTTAACACGTTGTGTCATTTGCAAATAGTTTGATTCTTCTTTCCGTTTTGAGGGTCTAGGTCTGGTTACTGTAAAGCACATAATGACAAATGCTATTACAAAGCTGCGATTTAAGGTAAATTACTCAACCAAACATGTCATCAGAGAAATCAGAAAGTAGAAATGGGTGATGTCATGCACCTTCCCATCATCTTGGTAACCAAGTGCTGGAATTAAATGGTAACCAAGTGCTGCCAGATAAATGAACAACCCAGTTTCAAATGTTCTAATATAGCTTTTGGAAGAGAAAAGTTTCCTTAATTTTCCAGGAACATGTTTGTTTATGGGAATGTTCTGTGCTTTCTTAAGCTCTTTCAACCACTTCCTCTTATATTTTGTCATTTCCTTTGAGTGAGCAGCACATCATGTCATTCCTCCAGTGAAGCCTGCCGTCACAACAGCAATGTGACTTTTATAATTTGGGCCACTCTGTGGTTTTGAAGTACCATGTCAGATCTAGCATAAGCTATCCTGATTCTCTCAAGGGGTCAGGATGTGGGCATGGAGGAGCAGGATACTCTCAGGCTCCATGTGGGCCTGTGCTTGAGAACCCCTGATGACATTAAGGCAAAGTAGCAAACCCCTCACTGTTTTACACCACAAGCCAATTCAGCCATTTATAGACTTTCTTACACGCAAACCACACCCATTCACTAACACAGTGACATGGGTTCATTATCTGTGTTGAATTCTGAGCTTTGTTTGTAACTTTGACATATTGGAATGTTTCAGCAACAGCTGCATCTGAGAATGAAGTCACTGGGATTATAGGAGAGTCTGTTCTCCTGGCCTGCGACCTGATTTCATCCACGGCCATCGACACAGCAAGACTCCGGTTCTATTGGCAAGATAAGTCCAATAAAGTGTTGTACTCGTTCAACAAAGGAGAAGAGAACCAACATCAGGACATCCTTTACACAAACAGGATTAAAGCCTTTGGGGCTGAGATGAGTTCTGGGAATATCTCTATCAAACTCAGCCAAGTAACACTTCAAGATAACCAGAACACCTACTTGGCTTTCGCTACACTGTTCGACGAGAATGGTATCAGCGTGTTGGAAACAAGGTGCACCCCTACCCTACTTGTGGCAGGTATGGTTGAGTTAATAACACAGGAGGCTGAGAGGAGGAGGACTCATAATAATGGCTGGAATGGAACGGCATCAACCACATGGGAACCGTGTGTTTGGTGTGTTTGATACCGTTCCACGGCTGCCTGTGTGAGTTATTCACAGCACTAATTCTGTCACTTTCTAAAATCTTCTTCTCTTTGCTTTGTACACTTTCAGCACGGTTCCTGACACCCAGTGTGACTGTGAACGAAACAAATATGAATGTCACGTGTTCAACCCAGGGGGGATACCCAAAACCAACGGTCACATGGACCATCCATGATGTCCTGTGGGCTCAGAAGCGTACTCTGGACCCGCATGAAGTACAGACCAACTTTACACTTGATCCTGAAAGTGGACTGTACACCGTCTGGAGCCAAGTGAATTCCACAGAAAATCAGACGGTGACCTGCCATATCTTCAACCCCGTTCTGAAGGAGACTGTAAGCAACACAGCCGTCGTCGGTCTCAGTCAGAGCATTCACACAGACCCTACAGGTACATATTACAGGACGTGACGCCACCTCTCACTGCCTAATATTCATTAAACTGAAAACTGAATCACTCATCTTGTCTTTTCCCCATAGGTGATGTTCAGGAAGGCTTGTCTGCCGGCCTTATTGGAGTCATTATTTCAATATTGATTACGTTTATCTTCGGGGTGATTTATTTTGTTTTCAAATACTGTAAGTTGCAATTTCAGATGTTTTATTTACTGTAATGAAATCAGATTCAGTACTGTATGAAGTTGTCTTAGTCTGTAATTACTCTGTCAGTGCCAAATCTAAGGATTTGATCTCCATTTACATTCAAATACAATATTATTTCAGATTTGAGGAGTGTTAGTATGTGAAAATCAATTGGCCCTGTGTACATTTCGTTCAGTAGTTAGATGGGCTGCAGTGTATTGTTAGTTATGACTAAAACACTGATCCATGTGGATCTAGGTCATGGAGCCAGAGGTGGTGCAACAGGAGCCAGCCGTGTTGCCACAGGAGCCAGCGGTGTTGCCACAGGAGCCAGCGGTGTTGCCACAGGAGCCAGCGGTGTTGCCACAGGAGACAGCCGTGTTGCCACAGGAGCCAGCCGTGTTGCCACAGGAGCCAGCCGTGTTGCCACAGGAGCCAGCCGTGTTGCCACAGGAGCCAGCCGTGTTGCCACAGGAGATGATGAGGAGCTGAGCATTCTAATGGGTTCCACAACAAGCCAGCCTCAGGACAACGGTAGTGTTGATCAAGTTGATGGAGCCACGGTTACCAACGCTAACGGTGCTGCAGCAAACAGAGCTGAAGGTGTAACAGAACCAGTGGATGACACGGTAAACATGCAACTGGACTAAAGTAGTTTTGACACAGGTCTAAGCCTGAGCTAGATTATAATGTTTTCCTTGTAATAACTATTAGAAAAGCTTTAGAACATCTACAGTAGAACATTTTCAAATACTTATTTCCAAACACACTATTTCAAACGGATGGGAGTCTTTTCAAAACACATTCCAAAAGTATGCAAATATTTTCATCCAAATGTGTTAGAAAATAATTGCAATACCCTAAATAGTATTTCAAATCATGTCTGATATTCATTGGACAAACCTGCCTTGTGGGATCCAAGACATCTGACGTTTAAAAATGTACTTTTGTTGTATATTTGACTTGAATTCATGAAGAACACTGAAGTTAAACGTTTTACCCAAAATAGGCCAGCCAGAGAGAGACCTGAACCTATGACGAGCCACCTCATTCTCTCTGCAATGCCTTTGTGTGTCAAGTTACTGTGGATGTTGTAAAGTTTATGCTTTGACTAAGGACTAAGGATTAGATTCAATCTGGACCTCGATGGACATTTGAAAGTAATTTCCGATTGAGTCCACATATGCAGCATTTACTGTGAATGCAGTCTCTGCCAAACAGACCTCACTGTGTCCAGAATTAGGGACAGCTGTTACAGAACTGTATCTAGGCCTACCTGATACTTTTATGAGTATATTTAAATAACATTTAGATACATTTGCATTCAGTGGCTCATGGATAGATGCAACGGCCCAAAGACACACCCAGTTTATATCGACTTGAAGATTAAAAATAGGTTTTATTTTGAACTTTAACAGAATTATCAGTAAAAAAAAAAAAAAATTATGAATAGTAACAGGTTAAGAGATCTATTAAAGTTGTGTGAGTCAGCTGTAGGGGTGCCCATGTTGCTGGTGATCGGAAGGGTCCGGTGCGAGAGATGCAGGTTGAAGTGGCAAGAGTCTGAGTAGTGCAGAAGGTGTCGTATGCAGAGGCAGTGGAGAAAGTAGAGGAGGATGGGGTCAACGTTGAGGGATCCTGAGAGGATTCCCAGTGAGTAGTAGATTTATGATAGCACAGAGGGATTAGGCCAACGAGTGAGATATGCTTCAGTAAGGTTGGCTTCTTAGCGTTCATAACCGTGGTTATCAACTGTACCGCAGAAATGGAACGTAAATCACAGAAAATAGATGTTGTGGTGGCAGCTGCAGAGAAGTACCTGGGTGTACGAGATTACTGCAGAGGAGTTATATGATGTTTTCAGAATTGTATTGGTTGAAATAGTGGTACATTGGTGTAGCGTTGGTTGGTGTTGCAATTTTATTTTGATTTTTCCCTTTTTTATATCACAAATGTAATGTGATTGAACACGCACTACCACACAGTGGGTGGGTGACGGCATGCACAAACAAAATGTGCGGACGCCATGATACCAAAGAAGAAGAAGAGATCCAATCCAGTGACAGGCCCAAGTCTTCCACCCTGCAAAAAAACAGTTTCCAGGGCCTGGTAGATATTTAGCTGATATGCTGAAAGAGTCTGGGCACCACCCTTTTACCAAACCCACACATCCTGTACAGACTTGACACTCATTCTTCCTGCTCCTGCATCGGAAAACAAAATGGCGAAGAGTGATTTATCTCGGGAGCATTTGATCTGCTCTGTCTGTCTCGATGTCTTCTCCAAACCCGTCACTATTCCCTGTGGACACATCTTCTGCCAGGGATGTACAAAGACCTATTGGAACAAAGGGGAGTGCAGCTGCCCTCTGTGTACGAGAGAAAATGTATAATGAATCTGATTTGATTTGAACATGATGTTATATTAACTTTGTGCAAGTCTCTGGAGCAATACTTCCATGTAGTCTAAATGGATGTGCCAAAACCATTGGTTATATTTTTTTTATATATGCAGGTGCCGAAGTGATAATTACAATCGCCTCACCTGTGTGAGGGAGGTACATAGTGGTATTAAAAACATTAGTGAACCAATATTTGTTACAATATACATTCAATATATATATACTAATACACAGATCAGCAGAATGAACTCGATAAATAGCATTTAGATATCACGATGACACGTTTGTCACGGATTCAGCCGAGGCTGCTCCTCCTCCTTGCTCGGGCAGGCTTCGGCGTTCGTCGTCCCCGGAGTACTAGCTGCTGCCGATCGATGTTTCGGTGTTTGACTTGTTTGGTCTTTATTGTTTACACCTGTTTCCCATTATGTTGGATTGTATTGGATGAGTGGAAGACAGCATTCAGTACCACCTCGGGTCACTATCAGTACCTCGTCATGCCATACGGTTTAATGAATGCTCCTTCAGTCTTCCAATCATTTGTGGACGAGATTTTCCGGGATTTGCATGAACAGGGTGTAGTGGTGTATATTGATGACATTCTAATATACTCCGCTACATGAGCCGAGCATGTGTCCCTGGTGCGTCGGGTGCTGGGTAGACTGTTGGAGCATGACCTGTATGTGAAGGCGGCGAAATGTCTGTTCTTCCAGGAGTCCATCTCCTTCCTGGGACATCGGTTGTCCGCGTCAGGGGTGGAGATGGAGATTGACCGCGTTTCAGCCGTGCGTAATTGGCAGACTCCCACCACGTTTAAGGAGGTGCAGCGGTTTTGGGGTTTTGCCAATTACTACCGGAGGTTTATCCGGGGATTTGGACAGGTAGCAGCTCCCATCACCTCCCTGCTAAATGGGGGCCCGGTGCGTTTGCAGTGGTCGGCTGAGGCGGACAGGGCGTTTAGACATCTGAAGGACCTTTTCACCTCGGCTCCGGTGCTGGCACATCCGGATCCCTCTTTGGCGTTCCAAGTTGAGGTGGATGCGTCCGAGGCGGGGATCGGTGCTATACTGTCTCAGCGCTCGGGCACGCCTCCAAAACTCCACCCCTGTGCTTTCTATTCTAAGAAGCTCAGTCCGGCGGAACGCAATTATGACGTGGGGGACAGGGAGCTGCTAGCGGTGGTTCAAGCCCTGAAGGTGTGGAGGCATTGGCTTGAGGGGGCTAAACACCCTTTTCTCATTCTGACTGACCATCGTAACCTGGAGTACATCCGGGCAGCGAGGAGACTGAACCCTCGTCAGGCTAGGTGGGCCATGTTTCTTACCCGATTTGTATTTAAGCTCACTTATAGACCAGGGTCACAGAACGCTAAGGCAGACGCCCTGTCCCGACGATATGACACAGAGGAGAGGTCCATTGTGCCCACTCCCATACTTCCGGAGTCTTGTCTGGTGGCACCGGTAGTGTGGGAGGTCGATGCGGAAATCGAGCGGGCGTTACGTGCCGACCCTACTCCCCCAGAGTGTCCAGAGGGACGGAGGTACGTGCCGCTCGAGGTCCGTGATCGACTGATATATTGGGCTCACACGTCACCCTCCTCTGGTCATTCTGGTATTGGTCGGACAGTGCCGGTGTGCGCCCAGTGTAAGGCATCTAGACACCTGCCCAGGGGGATATTACAACCCCTACCCATTCCACAACGGCCGTGGTCCCACCTATCGGTGGATTTTGTCACGGACCTTCCCCCCTCCCAGGGGAATACCACGATCTTGGTCGTTGTGGATCGGTTTTGAATTGGTTTAGATTGAACGAGGTATGTTATAGGTTACAACTGCCCATTAATTACCACATTAACCCCTCGTTCCATGTGTCTCTCCTCAGGCCGGTGGTAGCTGGTCCACTCCAGGAGAATGAGATACGAGAGGCTCCTCCGCCCCCACTAGACATCGAGGGGGCTCCGGCGTACTCAGTCCGGTCCATTGTGGATCCGAGGCATCGGATGGGGGGTCTGCAGTATCTCGTGGAGTGGGAGGGGTACGGTCCGGAGGAACGGTGCTGGGTCCCTAGGAGGGACATCCTAGATCCCTCCCTGTTGAGGGATTTCCACCGGAGTCATCCGACTTGCCCTGCTCCGCGTCCTCCTGGCCGTCCCCGAGGCCGGGGTCGGCGCACGGCTGGAGCCGCGCGTCAAGGGGTGGGTACTGTCACGGATTCAGCCGAGGCTGCTCCTCCTCCTTGCTCGGGCAGGCTTCGGCGTTCGTCGTCCCCGGAGTACTAGCTGCTGCCGATCGGTGTTTGTCTTGTTTGGTCTTTATTGTTTACACCTGTTTCCCATTATGTTGGATTGTATTCCCTATATTACCCCCTGTCTCTCATTGGTTATTTTGTGTGTTATTGTTCGTTGTCATTCCGGCAGTTGCTTGTATGTACGGGGCTTTGGGTTTTCCTCCCTGTTTGGAGGTTTGTTGTTTTGAACGTTGATTTTACTGTGTTCAGTAAACGACGTTGCCAGCCGCTCTGTGTCCTGTGTTTGACTTCGCTAACCGCATACACGTCGCGTGACAATGTAGGAAATTAGAGAAATTGTGGTGCATTTAGTTACTTACTATTGCACAGTAAAGCCTACAAAAATAGATGCTTTGGGGTATAAAAAAATAGACATCTGGATAGAAAGATTGTTATTGAATGTAGAAAGATATACATATGCATCAGCATTCAAAATACAGCGCAGCCATATAATCTATAAAAAATGGTCTGAATGAGAAATCATCATTTAGACCTCGAAGGGTGCATGGTATTTAATCTACCAATCCAAAACATCTCTCACTGTGAGATCATTTTAGGGAGTTTACTACCTCTAATAGGTGTGACCTGTTCCAGGCCCACAATGCACAAAGAGGACGGTGGGCCGTGTTTGGCTTCTAAGTAGTGTTTTGCCATAGCATATTCAATGTCGCCATTAATCCTCCTGTAGCTCAGTTGGTAGAGCATGGTGCTTGCAACGCCAGGGTTGTGGGTTCGAGTCCCATGGGGGGCCAGTATGAAAAATGTATGCACTCACTAACTGTAAATCGCTCTGGATTAGACCATCTGCTAAATGACTAAAATGTAAGGATGATTGTGTTAAGTATTCTTGACTGAATCAACAGATAAGACACTTATCTCCCTCACTAACTTTAAGCATCAGTTGTCAGAGCACCTTACCGATCACTGCACCTGTACACAGCCCATCTGAAATTAGCCCGCCCA